ATAAAGGACTTCAAGTGGGATCTTTGTACAGGAGTCAGACTAGTACTATTGACCTCAATACCAAGTTCGTTTAAAACTGATTCTACCTCTGCCTCAGTAACAGAATCTACAGAGTTTACATTATCAACCAAACAACCATCATCATCATCATCATCAGAAACATCTAACAGTTCATCAATTTGTTTGATTGTAGTTTCATCTATACCTGTGCGAAATTTTCTGCACGGAAATGGGGCGGAATACAAAGGCAGATTCCGCCCAGAAATTTAAATTCTCCACCGAATATACAAGTGTTAAACCATTTGCTTTTGGCACGGATTCCAGCCGGATTCCAGGCGGAAACGGGACGGATTCTGGGCGGAATTGGGACGAAATATGCAAATGAGTTGGGGCGGAATTTTGAAGCGGAATTTTGGGGCGGAATTTTGAAGCGGAATCTTGGGGCGGAACTTTGGGGCGGAATTTCGGAGCGGAATTGTCGAACAAGATTCTGGGCGGAATTCTGGGACAGAATTCAGGGGGCGGAATTTTATAAGTTTAACATGATCACATATTTTGGATAAAATTATCAATAATGTATCACATTAAATTTTCTTTCACAAAATTTAATTTAAAAAATATCATATCCTTTAGTCCAAATACAGAATAGAATACCCTACATTCACTATAACACAAACAGTCTTTTTCTAGCTGCAGGTTTTGGAATCTTAGAATCCAACACTTTGTTTTTTTTGCAATTATTTTGCTGGAAGGTTTCAATCATAAATTTGTTTCAAATGTTTCTGATTATTTAAATTACTATTTCTTTAATCCATGTCTGTTTTAAGTCCACTGCCTGTGTTTCCTAGAACTTCTTGTGGTTGTGCTCACCTTTAATAATAAAATTCATAATTAATTAAACAAAAATTTTGTAATGAATTATGTTTTATTGCATAATTATATGCAGTTATATTTTATATTTTTTAATAATATCAAATTTTATGATTCAAAAGTATTGAATATTAACTATGCTTATAAAGCATATTCAAAAATACTAAAAAAGCAACACAGAATCTTATTCAATTGCACAAGTGTTTAAGAATTGCTCTGTATAAGAATTAATTGACCGCTTTATTTTTGACACTATTTATTACTGGTTATGTATTTTTCAAGGAAAGATGTTGAATAGTTAAGTATAGAGATTTGAAAATATTACCTTTTCAGGATTAATACTGCACATCATTATTAAACACCTGGCATCTCACAGTCAGCATTTAAGTCCCTGAGCAGCCTGCAAATATGAGTGTAAAATGTAATTTTAGATTGTTCCATTGGAAACACAACACATACATGTAAAATAATAAATGATTAGGATGACCCTGTTCAACTGTACAAAACTACTGATTGTACCATTTAGTCCTATTTAATCAAATTTATTTAATTTGTTTAATTTCCAGGAAATGAAATATACTTACATGCTATTTATACAATATACACAATCATTATATATAAAAAAATCATTGAATAATTTTTATCTTGCAAATAATACATGTATTAAAGATTTAAAACAATTATCAGAAAGAAAAAAACAAATGTATGAAGTTGAAAATATTAAAACAACAATGACCTCTTGTTACAAATTTTAGTTGGCTACTTAGTATTGATAGTTTTCATATAAAATTAATGTAACTAAAGGTTTATAATTACCTGATTATGTTATACATCTCCTGGTCCCATGTTATCATACCAATTACTTTAACACTTTGAGATCTTAAACAAAACTTTATTCCAAAATTGTTAAAATATCAAGTACATGATTCCTCTGTAATTTGCACTCTTTTTGCTGACCCAGATATCTTAGAATTCAAAATTCACAACAGTTTACTGTATAATTTGACCGGTCCATCATTATGTAAAACAGGGTTAATTTACTCATCATCTTAACTTTCATTCATTGAATGTAAAAGAAAAATCAAATAACAAATAGATATTTATAGATTTTAAAAAACAATTACAAATTTTTGTACAAAAACATTGCAATTATGTCCTAGACAAATTCTACATATGCAATTTATAATGTTATCTCTCCCCAAAATAATTACATGGAACAGCCTGATCTGTTGGAATGACCAGTCATGCGTAGATAATGGGAAACTGCTGGTCAGTAGAGTTTTATCAGAGCTCTGATCTGTGTAGTGTAAAATCTCAGTGAATATACATGCAGTATTTATTTACCTATGGTAAATAAAAGCAATTATTGGGCATACTGGTTGATCAATTTTATATAGATTAAAGGGGCATAATATATGAGATTATTTCATGCACTGTTTTGTTTTTGTTTATTTTTTTTAAAACAAAATCATGAATTCTTAGAATTTAAAATGGCAAGCACACTTATAATCTTGTCCCGATGTGACTGCTCTATATTCTATATTCTATAGTATATTCAAATTTAAAAAGCATTCTTATTTTAATGTTGCTTTCAGATGATGTCCTAAAATCATATTTAAAAATTCATAATACAGTAAATGTATTATAATACAAGCTGTATGAAAAATCTTTATATTATAAACTTAAGCATTTTGGAGGTGAATGTTTTCAAGTTCTACACTAAGATTATTACAGTTGTTTTTCAGTACAAAAAGTATAAATTAGTCTGACAATGTATCATTTAATGCCACTTTTTTATTTAAAAAGAAGGCCTATTTCAATGTCTAAAAAAAAAAATATATTAATTCTAAAAATACACCTGTAATTATTGGTTCAGCAAAAAAAAAATAAGTACAGTAGTAAAATTTCAATGTCTGCAAGTGCAAAAACAAGAGTACAATTATGATTTGGACATCTTATATGTGAAATTCTGTTCAAAAAAAATGTTTAAGTATAGAATTCCGCCCATAGTGAAGACTATTCCTTTCCAAGAAAATTTCAAAGTTGAAAATTCTGTCCAAGATGAAATGTTTAAGTATAGATTCTGCTCAAAATAAAATTCCAGCTGGAATTTTTCTAGTTTTCCGCCCAGAAAAGTGAACAAAATATTTTTCTTGTGAGACAGAATGGTAGGATTTTGCGTTTCCGTCCCTGGTCCGCCCAGAAATCACTGATTCCGTGCCAATTCCGTGCCAATTCCGCCCAGAATCCGTGCCAAAATTTCGTACAGGCAGGGAAAAGTTTTCCAATTACTGTATTTGCCCTAATTTTAATCTCAAATGGAAATGGATTCATCAATCTACAGGCTGCATGCCCATGATCAGACTTCACAACAGACCTAGCTACAGCAACATTTGTATTTGAAATAGAATTCACTGGCTCAACCAATGCAACATTATTATGACCAATTCTAGATAATTTAACTGGCACCAGCACTTCAGTATGGGGACTTAATTTCACAAATTTCGTAACTCGTGCTAATCCAAGATGACTAGCAGAGATAAAACTTACTATAGGAATGCCATCTTCACTTTCAAAACTTGATGTAGCAAAATTAAGTTTACACTTGTGAGATTCTAAAAAGTCCCTACCAACAATCAGATCTTGACTAATATCCTCCAAGACATGAAACCGATGACAAAAATATGTGCTACCAATTCTAACCTTTAACAATAAGGAGCCTTTAACTTCTATAAGTTTACCACTAACACCTTTAACATTGGAGTAATTTGTCGGAGCCAGTTTGTTGTGATTTATTCCTAACTTTCGTAAGAGGGATTTTTTTATGCAGCAAAGACTAGCACCAGTATCAATCAAAGCTTTACAACTAACATCATTTATATATACGTTGAAAAGAAACATAAAAGGGATATCACTAATTCTTATACTTAAGGGGTATTTGTTAAACAATATGCTTGTAAATAAATTTTTATAAACATAATAAACTTTTATAAACATTATATTCATCAAACTACATAAAAAGAAATAACAGTACATAATAAATGATTAAAGGGATATTCAGGCAAAATAATGACAAAAATATTAAAATGATCTTATGTACTCAAATCACGCTAAATGACTTTTCTGGAAGTTTCAGCTTGAATTTCTGTTTAAATTCTATATATTTTGGGCTTGAAGCATAAATATATCTACATATAATGAACAAAATTTAGACGCCAATAGAATCACCAAATAGTTTTTAAACAAGTCAGTTGACTTGAACAAACCCTTGAAGTTACAATAACAGATATTGTGGATATTGTATGATTGAAACAAGCCAAAGTCATTCATTTGACATGTTCTTTAACGTTTCCAGAGTTCACTTTGACAACTATTGTGAAATGCTAGTGCTCTAACCTGACCCACGCGGGTCAAGTTAGGAAACCATCATTTTATTCTTTATATGGAGAAAAGTTTTGTTCCTTTTACTGTCTAAAGTATTCATTTTGAGGGCATTTACAGAGTAATGAATTAAAAATTCAAAACTAAGAAATGAAAATTTCGCCTGTGTCTCCCTTTAAAAGAATTAATGCCTATATACAACAACTACATTAAAAGCAAAACATGTACAAAATCGTTGTTACAAGTGTGTGACAGGGTCCATCATAAAAGTTTAAGCTTTACCATTCAAAGTGTATGTAGAGCTCTGTAATGGATCTAATAAAAATAGCAGTTAAAAAAGTGGTCGTTTTGGGTACAAATTTGATGACTAATGACCATTTTATACCTTTACTGAATGACAATTTTAAAGCTTTTTTTTGAATTCTTACAAGGCATTAAAAGTTATTCAAATGAAAATATCACATGGAGATGGACTTGCGTATTGGGATTATAATATGTATGTAAAAGAAAGAAACCATGAAATTGTCCAATTAGTGCAGTAGTGGGTTAATTTCTATTAAGTTTAAGAAGAGTTTACCAGTTATCTGCACTAATGTGACGAATTAGTAACTGTATTTAATTGGTAAAGGATAAACATAATAAACAGGATCCATTATTAACATCATATTTAATGTCATTATTGCATGTTAAGTCCATTTGGAATCTTTGTTGTATATTACAACATTTATATCATGATTTCTTCATTCTAGACTCCTATAATTGACGTATGGTCGGCCATTGAATTTGGCATCAACTTTGCACTACCAGAGAAAGACCCCCCAGTGGCATCATCTCCAGATACGCTCCCGGATATCAATGAATTCCCAATACTTGATGCAGGAATAAATTCTGTCGAAAATCAAATGGTTATGACCCAGGTAAGAAATATTTTACAGTCATACCTGTTTGTAATGAGAAATGTAAAAATTGAAGCAAAAACCTACCTGTCAACGTTTGTTATGCAAGCACATATGATATGGAAAAGCGGGAGGCCTATTGATTGGAAAATATCTCTTTATATAATTCTGAACGGTTGTTTTCTGTTAATTATAGGTGGAGTTTCTCAAAAAATGTGGCGATGACCAAATTTGCAACAGTAATTTACAAATGAAAGTATCACCAAAACTGAGAAAGTAAGTGTTTTACATATAGTAAGAATATAGTTAAGATTCATGGTGATTGTTGTCAAACCGCCGTGATCAAACAGTTCTTCTTCGATGCCGAATTGGACACACTAAAATTACCCACTCTTATCTCCTCACAAATGACAATGCCCCTTTCTGTGTAGGTTGTAATGAAAATTTTACTGTCAAGCATTTTCTTCTTGAATGTCATGATTTTTCACAGGCCCGTAATAGATTTTATTCTGTAAATTCACTCAAAGAACTTTTTAATACAATTCCATCAAAAAACATAATTGATTATTTAAAAGAGATAAACTTGTATTCTAGGATCTAATTGGCTCATTTTTATTGTCATTTACAATGTTTTACATAATATTTTAGCCTATTATAGCATTCGGCACGATATGGCCAGTTATGTGTTGACGTGCCGTAAAATCCAAACAAACAAACATGGTGATTGCTTATAAAGAAAACATAATTATATCTGCTGAATATGTGTGTACAGATAATGAATTTGCTAGTAATGATCTGGATTATCCAGCACAAGACAGTTTGTTGGATATGGCTTGACAGGTTGAAAAATGTCATCAATAAACTATTGAATAACTTTTATTTGATTGTTTGTTTTTACAACACACCAATTTAGTATAGGTCATATGGCGCTGAAACAGGAAAGATGATTTTGGCTAACCCTGGGTGTTACAATATTCAAAGCAACACCAGGAATCAGAACCACCCCACCTGATGGAGCTTGCAGATGCTTCGACTCCAGTTATTCAGTGCCATTTAGTTGCCTCTTAAGATCACACAGAGATAAACGGTGGCCACATTTCTGATGCCTCAACCATTAAAGACAACCCCTCCGCCACAAGGGGATTGCATAAGTATAAGATTAATCATTACTCATTTCCTGCCAGGTCAATACTGGAAAAGAATAAGGGTGATAATATTTTGTGTGAATGTAATAAAACTGTTTTTTTGTTCGCAATTTTTCTAACCATTTATATTATTCATTAGGGATGAAGATGGCAAACTAGTTTTAGAGATTGGGAGATCCGATATTGTTCGTGTAGAAGTGGATATAGAAAACATGGGGGAGATTGCGTACCAGACCGAGTTTTACCTGTCTAGACCAAAGAGTCTTACCTGGCAGCAGTCCGACCCCGTAAGTTTATTAAACCTTATAATAATCATCACCTTAAGTGCAATTACTGATTAACGGCTATAAAATTTAGAAGGACTTATACCATGATTGCATTAAGGCGACAAAATATCATTCTACAAAAGTCATAGTAAATGATACAACTTGACTCACAGCTGCTACAACAAGACCTTAAAGGGACTCCACTGTTTTTTCAAGATGACTGGACTAGAAATAATTGTTAGGGATTAATGTTAGAAATTGTTCGAGATTAATGTTCCATTTGAAACAGATCTAGACCATCTTGTGTGCAAAATTTCAGATAATTTGTTCACTCTCTTTTTCCGTAATGATTATTTACATTGTGAAAAACCACCCAAAATTAAAAAGGGTTGGAACTCTGATCACTTAAATCAGACTAAGAACAGCACAAAAATATGATTTTCTATTATTTTTTTTTCAGTAAATTTTATAATTATTTGTTGTGGATTTTTCTGTTTTAAGTGCCGCAGTTGCCAGCTGGTCTATATAAGAAATTAAAATTTTATGTTTTTATGCTTTTGAACCTCAGTGGAGTTCCTTTAAAATACAAAATCATAATGTTGCTGGAAGATTGTCAAGTGAAATTAAATATATAGCACAAACTTAACATGCAAAGGAGTAGTAATGGAAGTTACAGGATAGGTACCATATCAAACCATATTTGTAAATAATGACAATTTTAGAATGTTTCCATTTTCGTAAAAAGCTTAAAAATACAAATTTTATAGCCAATTGAAATTATATCATAAACTTATGTGAAACAATGATTTAATTTTCTATTTAACAGAAAGACATAGGCTGTGATGTTTACAATGACACTTTAATCAAGTGTCAGAGTATTGGAAGCAAAGACAATGGGAATCCATTAAAGGCAGGGGCAGTAACTGTGTTTGCATTACTTTTCCAAGTTGACAGGAAAGCTATAGCAACTGTAAGGTCCATTCAGCTGACCGCATGGGTCAATACGTAAGCATTCTACGTTTTTACTCAATCCTGTAAATTTGCTTCGGGTAATTTGCTACAAAAATTTGTCCAGAAACAGCGTTTGAATATTTTATCGTTAATCTGTAAAAGAGTTTTTAATATGTATTGCAAATTCATCAGTATTTTCAACCATTTGTTTTCCTGTTGAATATATGATTGATTGGTAAAATTAATTTTCATGGAATGTTTATATTATTGTTGGCCATTTGCTCATGTGTATGTATCATTTAACCTGATCTTAAGTGAATTTAAAAAAAAATTATAATAACTAAGACAACAAAATGCGCTACTTTTTATTACATCATTTAAATATTGAAATTAATGACATTGTTTTGATGTTTTATGCTTGGTTATTGAATGTAGTTACTTCATGAAATGTAGCACTACATTACATTACATGTGTGCAATATAAGGTATTATCACATATACTTTAGTGCCGCAGTGTAATAAACCCAGGTAATAAAATGATATTACAGAAATGTAATAATACTTTGATGTGACATCATTTTCGTTATATACAAACATAGCATTAAAGTGTGCTCATGATAGCATTACACTATAGGTGCATCAATGTAAAAAGGGACTCTCTATAACTGTGAAGCGTTCAAATTTTGAATATGTGATAAACAGAATCTTATATTCATGCACATTTAATACTAAAGTTATAATATGGTTTCATTCAACTCATTCAATAAATTTAGTATTAAATCTACACTCATTCAATATCCTCTATATATTTAATGGCTATGTAACATGTATAACAAACAACGTCATGAAAGTAATAAATCCTTTTTTTATTATTTTTTTTGTTTTCAGAACGAGTGTTGAAGTAACACCAGCTGCTGACAAAGTTGTAATACCTATAGTAGTTTATGTAAATGCTGATTTACAAGTGTTTGGGTAAGTGAGCATACTGTTAAACCTTGTTTGCTCAAATTCTGGATTCTGAGAACTTAACACGATCTTTATGAGATCTGCAAATTTTGTCATGTTGTATACAGACACAACAAATTGAAGTCCAGGATTTATTTAACTGACAGTACAAAAGTCTAGATTGATTGCTAATGATTCTTCAAATCCTATTTGTAATTTCAATCCAACCACACACTGTGGCAGTGACTATTATTCTGTATTTTAATATATTAAGTGACTGTATAGGAAATGAATAAATTATGATGTTTTAAACTTTTTGTTACAGAATTGCAGAACCTGACAGTGCCATCTTGTACTCGGGTGATGTTCGGGGAGAAAGTGCTATCAAAAACGAGTTTATGATTGGAAAATCTGTGAACCATACTTATACAGTAAGTCAAATTCTGTGAACCATATTTATTAAATCAATTTAAATCTGTGAACTGTATATATATATATATTAAGTAAGCATTATTGATATTTTACATGAAGTTGACCTCCTTGGATTAACAGTAATAACTCTGCAAACTAGACCCTGTCCAGACTTTACCAAAAGTCAGGTTTTCAGAGGATTCTGGTTTTCAGAGGATTCCGGTTTTCAGAGGGTCCTGTTTTCAAAGTTTTACTGTATACTTCTTACTGCTATAGGGGCTGGCAGTAGTGTATTATTAAAATGCTGTTTTTATTGTCACTTCTGACATTACATTGTTTTTGTTGTTTAATCAAATGTATGACAGTAAAGGTCGAGTCCTGTTGGTCAGTAAAGGTCAAAACTGGAAATTACAGTACATTTTGTTTAGTTATTATACACCCACACAATTGTGTTGCTGTTGTTTATTATCCCCTGCCGATAGAATCAGGAGGGGGATATAGTTTTGACGTTGTCCGTCTGTCAGTCGGTACGTCCGCACAAACATTTAAGGATGAGCTAACTTCCGTCCGTCTGTCCATCCGTCCGTCTGAATTTCGTTTCCGGACTAGTTCTCTGCAACTACTAGCTGGAATTCAACGAAACTTTATGGGAATCATCAATATCAAGAGGAGATGCGCATATCATCGCCTTGTTCCGGTCAGACACTTTAACTTAGAGTTATGGCCCTTGATTAGTAGGGCAGTATGCATATAGAGCAAAAATCATTTCCGCGCTACTTCTCTGCAACTACTGGCTGGAATTCAACAAAACTTTATGGGAACCTTCAATACCAAGAGAAGATGCGCATATCGTTGCCTTGTTGGGGTCAGACATTTTAACTCAGAGTTATGGCCCTTGATTAGTTATGCAGTATGCATATAGAAAAATATTTGTTTCTGCGCTACTTCTCTGCAACTACTGGCTAACTCTGCTAACTAATGAAACTTTATGGGATACAAAGAGGAGATGTGCATATAGTCGCCTTGTTTCGGTCAGACACTGCAAGTACTGGCTGGAATTCAACAAAACT